ATTGTCCCCAGGCAGTCCTATAGTCTCTTCCCGAAGCCGGCAAAGCTCTTCGAGGGACTGTCTAAGGCGGTGATGTTCCAGGGATCTGGCTGCGGTGGCCGTGCGTGGCCCAGAGGAAGCAAATGGTGCAGGACGATCCCGAGACTGCGGCATTGCGTACATGAGCGGGGTGACCATAGGCAACATGAAGTGTCTCAGCTGTGGGCAGCGTACAAGCAATGCATCCCATGGAGTGGCAGGTGCAGGTCGTCCCCACGTGGTGCGCGTCAAGAGATCACCATTTTGGACAAATGGCGTGGTCGCAGCATCAACAAGGCCGTTAATGGCAAAAACCCATCCCGCCGCACGTGCGCTTGCATCCAGCAGGGCAAGTGGATGGGTCGGGCGCGCAGCACTCCATGCTGAGTAATCGGCATTATTGGTATGTAGGCCATGATCAATGACACCATGGCTGCTGTCGTCATGGGAGTGCCATACAAACACAAGGTCTTGCACATTGCCGCGCAGGCAGGGCAGCACATTGGTAGGGCGAAGGATGCCGCGCGGAGGGGCAACCCCATCCTGACATATCTCTTGCATCAGTGAGGTAAGGGTATCAGTGAGCGGCAGGCTGCTCATCATGGGTGTTTGCAGCATATGTGCGTGGCCCACAGACAATGACAACCCTTGCGAGCACATTGGTTTGCCTCCAGCTCCGCATCATGGTGGTCGTATGCGTAGTGTGGGCTTCTGGTGTTGTCAAGGTAGTCGTGGTCGTGGTAGCAGCTTCGGCAGGTGCCCGAAATGTGCCACGCAAAACAAGTGCCTCGCGACTACGTGCCTCATAAAACCCGATTGCCTGCCTAAGCCCTGGGAATTGGCTGACAACATCACAGGTGTCCTCAACAGCGGCGAGCAGACCGTCTTGCGCCGGGATCAACAGGCCGCCTTGACCAACCGTGGTGATTGCAAAGTCACGTGGAGGGTCCGTGAATCCTGCGTGCAGTAAGTATGCCTGCGTGGCATCGCACATGTCGGCAGCCGGGTCGGTGCCGGGCACAGTTGGGATAGGGATCGCAAACATGTGCTGTAGACCCGGGCCAAACATTCTGCGTAAGTCAGCCAAGAAGACCAGACGGTCCAGACCACTGTCTGTGACGGGTGTCACAATGCAGTGCAGGTCAACGTCCAGGCAAACTGGCTGACGCAGCAGGAAGTGTGTCCTCCATCGCGGGTGTGAGGTGCGCTGCAGCATGTGGACTGCTGCGTGTTTGGCCACATCGGCAGGGGAAGCAAGGATCGACATGGTGTGCGTCCATGCAGGGTGGCCCGGTGTGTGGAAAGCCACTCGAAGGCAGCTGACTTCTTCTCTGCATGGGTCGAACACCTCGAAATTCCTGTCCTCCGCTATGTTGCTTGAGGATATGCTGTCCAAAGTACTGCCTGCGTCACTTGAGGAAGGCGGGGTGTAACCGAAGGTGCGCCCAACAAGCGCGGGCACGGGATGGAGCACATCCTTCAGGAATGGGTCAGTGCGCTGACCGTGCAGGGCAACAAGCAACCAGTGTCCCCGTGCGACATTCTGGGCGATGCGGGGCGGTGCGTCCTCACAGCCTTGGCTGACACGGAATGCCGCTTCATATGCCGATGCATCAGCCGGGATGTGCAAAGTGCAAAAGCCCGCGTCTAGAAACCTCAGGTCGATGGGGACAGTCCTCCAGGTCGGAGGTAGGTCAGCGCTATCCAAGACAAGCTGTATCGGTGGCAAGTCATCGAACCCCGGGTGCAGAAGGTGCACGGCCTGGACTGCGCCTTCCCTTGAGGCCCTGATTGCGTCTGAGATAATCTCTGGCATGCCCCAACTTACCTTCAGTTTCCGATAGCGCATGCCATCCCTTGTGTCAAAAAAGACATACTTGGCACGGCGCGCCGATCCGAGCACGGTGGAATGCACAGATGCGTGTGGGATCGGTGCCCAGAATTGCACATTTGACTGTACATCATCAGGTGGTGCCCCAACCAACTCAACCCTGTGCATGAAGGGCCCGGCCGTCATAGGGGCGGTCGGCATGCTTGTGTCAGAACTGCTGCCTGGGCGGCTAGGGGAGTTGATGGGGTAGTTGATGCACGGTGCAGGGCCGAATGTGAAGTCATGCCCTACCAAGCGTCTCCCTGCCGGTTGCAACGGTTCCTGGCAGGTCGGCATGGGCTGATATTGGGCCTTCAGTTCTTTCCTATGAGGTGTGAGGCATGGCCGATTGCCTCCGGGAAACAACACCAAAAAGGCTTGCATGGCCCTGTGGAATTTGGCTAGGAGTCGAACCCTTCGGATGAAACCGCTGATGGTGCCGCTCCTGCCGGTGGCGTCGTCAAATGTCAGCGTGCAAGCAAGGCGGCTACCCTGACACTTAAGCGAGCTATTATACAATCTATGTACAATCTGCTCGGGGAGCAGTCCCAAGTTGTCACTGCAATCCTGCCCCTCTGCTGGTTCAGATACGACATGGGGAACGCTCGACTCCCTGTTTGCACCATCGTGGGAGGTACCGTCCGCATGTCGCAGCTGACTCTCAGCCCAGGGCCAGGATTGTTCTTCATCGCCACATCCAGATCCGTCTGAGTTCAGAATGGAACTTGGTGTCGCAGTGCTTGTCCGAGGGTCGCAGTCATCAAATGGACTTGCATCGAGATACGGGATGTCCCAACATCGTATCTCTGCCTCGGCACACATCCCCAGTATGGGTGCCAGGTATTTGCTGACACAGTTGGCCTCGCCGAGCACGCTGTGAGAAGATGGCATGCTCGGGGCTTCTTGCCTGACAGGTCCCGTTAGGCTCGTTGTCAGGCCTTGCGAGGGGGCTGCGAGTTTTGACTGGCAGCCTTGGCAACGGCTGCGATCTCTGTAGGCTCGACTCTGGCACGTCTCGGTGTCCTCTCTCTCGCCTGCAGCCCTTGGAGCTCCTCTTGTGCGGCCCCTCGGGCTCGTTTCAGCTGTTCTGTAAGTTGGGCTTCCTGCTCCGCTGTGTTGGCATTGGCTTCGGATTGTTTGGCATCGTCCGCAGCCACTTCCATGACCTCTGCCTCCATGTTCTCCGACTCGTCGACATCGATCACCGAATCGGGCGGCTTCGTGGCTTGTGCCAGCGTCTTCGTCGCTGTCGACAGCTGTGTAGCCCATTTGTCCTCGGCCTCCTTGAAGTTCGTCATCGCTTGATTCTTCTCCTCGATCTGTTGCAAAAGCAGGTCTGTCAGCGAGCCAAGGTACTGCACCCATTCCGCCATGAAGGCCGCCCTTGCTCGTCTGACCTCCGTGATGCCCTTCTGCGCCGCTGCTTGCTGCGCTACCACTCGGTGCAAGGCCTTGGCCGACGAGCGGTGTTGGAGGTCTGAATGTGCGTCGAGTGCTTGCTGCACGCTCGCCGGAAGATCCTCTCCGGCACTCACCAGCGTAGCGAGCAGTTCTGCAAATTCTGGGGCCGGATTGGCCGTGGTTTCCGTAGCAGCAGTCGTTGGAGCCAAGGTCACTGCCGGTGGTTGGGTCGTCGGGGGCGCTGGGAGCATAGCCATTCTGTCCTTGCCACGCGGTGCCGCATTGTCTTTGGATGCGGCTTTGCCCTTGCCTTTCCCTTTCTTGCCCTCTTGTTGGCCGTAGACTGCAGCATTGTCGTCCTTGCGCGGTCTGCGTCTCGGTGATTGCCTGATCCGTGGCGAGGGCGCTCTCGGCTTCCCTCCGTTGTTCCAGGGTGCTGCTGCTTGCGCCGCCGCATACGGTATCTCCGCCTGGTAGGTCACCTCCCAGTGTCGGCCGCACGTTGGGCAGTACTGCGCTGAGGCCCGGCAGTACTTTTTGCACGCACCACACTTCCACGAACTCATCCTTCTGGCCGCGGTCAATCCGTCCTGTAGCGCCCGCCTGGCTTTCGCGGGTAGAACGCTGCGAGAGTGATGACCTTCTAGGCACTTGATTGAGCGCCTGACTTTGTGAGTGCCCCACAGGTTTGCAATCCAGGGAGCTGTCAAAAAGGTCCGCAGAGTGGTTCTTGCAGATGTGCGCTGCCGGCGCTGCCGCCGGTGCGCTGCCGATTCCGGTGCCGTAGTGGCTTGTAAAGCTTCCCCCCAGAGAAGTGCAGACAAGCCAGCAAAATAAATAGACCCAAAACATACACCTCCAGGAAAACTGGTCCAGCGTAGTTGAAGGAAAAATCAGCGCAAGCGTGTAGGCCAAGTAAATGACAGCTACAGCAGCGTGAAGAGTGTATTAGTGCACGGTCCCCAAGACCAAGTGCACGACCAGGCTCAACGAGCGGTCCTTAGGAGCGATGCCTGCCGAGGGTACAGCACCTTCCAGTGAAGCCAGGGGATCTGGTCGCACTTGCGGACACCAGTCCCAAATCGTGGGCAAACAAATGTGCCACACCAGGGTTCAAAGCCACAGGGGACTAGCGAACTAGAAACTGCCCTGTGAACCAGAACGCCTAGGGTTTAGGGTTTAGGGTTTAGGGTTTAGGGTTTAGGGTTTAGGGTTTAGGGTTTAGGGTAGGGTGGGGGGGGGGGGGGGGGGGGGGGGGGGCGGGGGGGGGGCGCGGTACTGACGTTTACTCAGGAAGTTTCAGGGTCGGGGGAGACTTTGCCCAGCGGCAACGTGGCGAAGATGGGGGGCCTGGTGGTGGAGGGAGTTGGGGATGGGGGCAGGGCGGGGTTGAGGTGGGGTTAGGAGGGGGGCGGTTGAGAGCGCTGCTGTGTTGAGTGTTGGTGTTCTACCATGTACCACTAAGCTGGAGTCCGCAGGCGCACAATCACGATGCTGAGTCGGAGCTCAGGAACGCCTCGAGGGATAATGAGCAACCTGTGCTTTCCTGGTTCCTGCACTGCTACATAGCACCCCCAAAACTCCAAACAGTCCCTGTGCAGCTTTAAGGCCTGGGTTGGGTTGGGGTTTGGGACTTGGGGCCGTTCCTAAGCTTAGAAGGACTATGGGGCCGGTGGGTGGGGGGGGAGGGGAGGGGAAGTTCGCTGTCTGCCTGTTCGCTGGAGTGCGCCCAGGACCTGAGAGGGGCAGAGCTTCAGAACTGCGTTCCCAGGGCCTTGGCTTCTTTTAGGGACACCAAGGCGCGAAGCCCCCCAAGCCCAAAATCAAGAACTCTTACTTCAACTGGGGCATTGGGGCTTCTTTTGGGGCCAAGGCCCGAAACCCCAAGCCCAAAAACTAAGAACTCTTACTTCAACTGTGGCCCCCAAAACGAAATCGAAGCACTTCGGTGAGCAGTTGGGGGTGTTGATAGGCTGAGTGTCCACAGGAAGACTCTAGAATCAGGGAGCTGCGGGGTGCCTCATTAGGCTTTTGTAGGCTTCTAGGGTGGAGGGTTCAGGGGTCTAGGGCGTGCAAGCAAGCCTTCTCCCATGTGTTCATTCCCTCATTCCCTACGACGAACCAGCCAGTTTTCTGCAGAACGCTCAAGCCACACGACTGCAGGCACGTGGCAATGTTGAAGGATTCGGGGATGGCGTCATCGCCCAGGGACCCCAGCTCCTGCCGTAGCGAACCGGTCAGATATCGAGAGCTGCGGGTTCAGGGTAGTTTGGGGTCGTGGCTGGCGGAAGCTCGATTCGCAGATCCTCCAACATGAACGGAGGCTGGAATGAACGAAGCCACAGCGCTGCAGGAAGAGAGGCAGCCCAAAACCCTAGCCCTAAACCCTAAACCGATTTGCCAGCCTCCAGTGTTGCCAAGCTCATCCTGGGCAAGATTGAGGGTTTAGGGTTCAGGGTTTAGGGTTTAGGGTGTAGGGTTTAGGGTTTAGGGTTTAGGGTCTGGCAAAGGACGTTGGCAGTGATGGCTCAGGGATAATTGCGGCTTCGAGGGACTTGCGTGTGCAGGGTTTAGGGGTCAACTGTAGGGTCAGTTGTCAGGGGTTTAGGGTTTAGGGTTTAGGGTTTAGGGTTTAGGGTTTAGGGTTTAGGGTTTGTTGTTGACGGGGAGGGGGGGAAAAAGGGGGAGTTCGGAGCATGGCCAGCCCAATGCAGCTGTCTGCGGCCCAGTCGGATCCCCGGTTTCACACTCCACCACCCGTTAAGGGGATTTGGGATTTAGGGTTTAGGGTTTAGGGAGAGCAGCACAAATCAGGGCCAAGAAGTAGCAACAATTCCCAGTGAATGTGGTGCGCGATCGCGCACCAGGACTGTGGATAGGGAGTTGGTGTGGAGGGGTTTCGGAAAGAACCCAAAAAATCATTAAGAGCCATAGCATGGTTTAGGGTTTAGGGTTTAGGGTTTTTAGAGTTTAGGGTTTAGGGTTTAGGGTTTAGGGTTTGACTATAACCAGGGCCCAAAGGGACCATAATCATGCCATGATCTATATCTTGCAAGCACCTATTCCCCCCCCCCCCCCCTGTGCGCTTCCAGCCAGAAGAACATCTAGGTTCTTTGATCTGTACTTGGGGTTCATGGGTAGTTAGTACCTGTAGGGGTAAAAGTACCCTAAATGGAGTATTTTGAATAGTTGCCATACTTATAAACCTACTGATAACTACCCCATGAACCTCCAAGTACTACGACGCCTGCACCCACAGGGTCCATGTACACATATAGAATATACTTGGGCCTTAAAGGGGTCCCTAGACAGTAGCGTCAGGGCCCTAGAATATACTATATAGATACACGGACCCTTAAGGGAACATTTCTCTGACCTCTTGTGCCCAGGGACTCCCATCGACCAGCCTCCGCGCAGCAGGCCTAGGATTGGCGAGCACTGGCTCTAATTATGGTTCCCAGAGTAACCTAGGAGTCAGAAAGGGTGCCATTTTTGGGTCTGAAGGGGCTTATAAGGGAGTCTAAACCCTATAAAAAGGGAAATCAGGGCGGCCTACTCCGGGTCCTGGAATTATAGTGGCAAGCGTCCTGGCTTAGCATATTTGGGGAATGTCGGGGGTCAGGGTTTGGAGTGTAGGGCTTTCTTCCTAGACCCCAAACCCTGAATTCTTTACAACCTCCCGTGGATTACCTACGGACACCGACAAAATCGAACATCCCCACCCTGCCAAGGCCCCTCTCTCTCCCTCCATCCAACACAACCAAACATAAACCCTCACTCAGAATATATTCCAAAGACCTAGGCAGATGACAGGGACTCACTTCTTCCAAACCACAGCGAACCCTCACGGGGTAGCTGCGACCTGGAATGATCGGGCTTTCGTCCTTAGCACTCCCTTGAAAAGAGAAATCTCCTACGCTGATGAAATGCTGCGCCCTGTCTGGCATCTGCAACTGCAAAAGCACTGCACTGGAGCGGACGTCCCTCAATCCGAAACCCCAAGCTACGCCAAACGCCGCACTCGGCAACTCTCTTGCTTGCAAGTGGCCAGCAGGGCGTGGCGCGTCTTGAGAGTCAGCTCCAGCCCTGCTCGTGGCGGCAGATGACTGTCTAGGTTGTGAGCTATAAGTCACCTTCATGCGGCTAATGGAAGCCTTAAGCCACTCCAAGGGCTATTCCCAAAGCCCTACACCCTTTGTATAAGACAAAAACGCTGAGCCTATTCAGCTTCAACCCTAAACCCAAAGCGCGACTTAAACTCAAAATAACAAATCCCCAGAACCGATGGTTGGTGAGCGCTTCGTTGTCATCTGTGCCTCGACACTCAGATGCGAGAACTCTATTGTCCATGAGGATGCCCTGCTCAACCTTAACCACAACCCTAAGGTTTAGGGTTTGGGGTTTGGGGTAGGGTTTAGGGTTTAGGGTTTAGGGTTTAGGGTTTAGGGTTTAGGGTTTAGGGTTCAGGGTTCAGGGTTTAGGGTTTAGGGTTTAGGGTTTAGGGTTTAGGGTTTAGGGTCTAGGGTAGAGTGTAGAAGGACCTGCTGGTCCAAACTCGATTCCAGGGTCCGCGAGTACACCTGAGGCCTCCTTGGTCTGCTCAACTTTTGGACCCAAAACCAGTACCCTCCCTTGACCCGCTAGGGTTTAGGGTTTAGGGTTTAGGGTTTAGGGTTTAGGGTTTAGGGTTTAGGGTTTAGGGCTTAGAGTTTAGGGTTTAGAGAGGCTCAACAACATTTCGCAAGAATCCCCTAAACCGATCCAGCACGTGCTGATGAACCACATCTTATCGTGCTCTCTGCCTACTATCACTCCAAGACCATTGGCTTAAAGCAAAACTCCTCAAAGCCCTAAGCCCTAAGCCCTAAGCCCTAAACCCTAAACCCTAAACCCTAAACCCTAAAGCCTAAACCCTAAACCCTAAACCGAACCCTAAGCCCCCTACCTGCAAAAAAGAGCCCAAAGCACCAACACCTTGAAACCGGGCCTTGCCCAGAAACGCTGCGCAAGAGCTCCACGGCCTTGCCCGATGTCCGGTTTTCAGGGTGCTTTGAGGGTTTTAGGGTTTACGGACCAAAGACCAGGGTCTATGGTTTAGGGTTTAGAGTTTAGGGCCAGCATCGAAAAACAAAGTCCCAAACAGTGTGTCAACACGAAAAGGGTTCCAATGCCCAGAGGAAGAGGGGCCAGGTCGATGTAGGGGCCTTAAGAATCAGAATAGGGTTTAGGGGGGTCATTCTAGTCCATGTATAAAGGGGCTATAAGGGAACCCTAAACCGGGCCCCAAACCCCAAACCCCAAACCCTAAACCCTAAAGCATTTATTCCGACACCTTTTGTAGGCGCGCGCGGCGCACTCGGGCGGCGCCCGCTCGCAAGTGACTTTTCAACGTGCGGGGCTCGCAAAAAATGCGAAACTGTCGTCACCATTGGAGGCCTAGGCGTGCGACATAGGGTTTAGGGGAAAAGGTTTAGGGTTTAGGGTTAGGGTTTAGGGTTTAAGGTTTAGGGTTTGGGCCTCCCACTGTTTGAGGTCCACGCTGCCATAGTTGCTATGGCCTTTAAGCCTAACAACTTGAAGAATTGAAAGTCCATGGAGCCTTAGCAGCTACGACTTAGCTTTTAGGATGTGGGGGTCACCGAAGTTAGGGGTACCTTATTGGGGTCCTTATTACAAGGGAATCCTACTATTTGGGGGGGGCCATTTTAGGAAAAACCCCCCATGTAGGGTTTGGCTAGATGAGTTCTAGATGGCACGGAGTTCAGGGTTGACAGTCCTGGTGGCTCTTGTAAGTCTTTTTGGGGCCCTCCAAAAGCCCAAATTAACCCTGAACCCCTAAGCCAGATCGAGCACAAACCTCTAAACGCTGGTCCCTCGTGAAGCCACTCAACCCTGAACCCTCAACGCGGATCCTAAACCTAGAAACTCTAGAAAACCCTACGAGTAGAAACCCTAGAAACCCTAGAAACCCTATCTCCTAGAAACCCTAGAAAACCCTAGAAAACCCTAGAAACCCTAGAAACCCTAGAAACCCTAGAAACCCTAGAAACCCTAGAAACCCTAAAAACCCTAGATACCCTGGAAACCCTAGAAACCCTAGAAACCCTAGAAACCCTACACCCAACCTCCTCCCATTTCTGGCCATTCTGAAGGGCGCGCAGTGCCTCAGCGGATCAGGCTTCCAGCGGCCGTTGCAGAGTAGGGTTCAGGGTTATATATGATGTATAGGGATGCTGTTTGTATCCACGAAAGGACACGCGTCATCTATATATATATATGTATATATATACATATACATATATACACATATACACACACACATACATATATATATATATATATTACACACATGCTTACATACGCACATATATATATATACACAGATACAATACACTTACCAAAAGCTGAACCCTGCCGCATATGGGGGGCTTAGGCTTTGAGGATGTAGAGGTTTCAGGATTGGGGTCTGGCAATTGTCTAGCAGATGTATATGTTCAGGGCTTTGAGCGGTTTACCGACTTGGAGTTTCACTAACCGTTTAGGAGGGCCGAGGAGAAGGATGGTTTAGGGTTTAGGGTTTAGGGTTTAGGGTTTAGGGTTTAGGGTTTAGGGTTTAGGGTTTAGGGTTTAGGGTTTCTGGGGAGGAACCAAACAGTCTTACCCTAAGGCTTTAAATAGCCCGAAGCAGGCAAAGTAGGTACTATTCATATACTTGGGGCCCTAGGGTTAGGGTAGTTGCATGGTCCCTTACGGTCCCTTAGTATGGGCCCTGAAATGGGGACCCCTTATCTACCCCTTACATACCCTATAAAACCCAAGGGCTGATACTTCAGAAGCCTTTAGAGAAGGTCAGGGGTCATATTAAGGGACCATGTAACTACCCTTAGAAACACAACAAATGGAGGAGGCGATCTAGCTCTGGGTTGCAAGGCCAAAATGGGTTGCAAGGCCAAAAATCGGGACGCGGTGTTTCAACAAATGGGTTCAAAGTGACACCCTACCCCGAGAACTCGAAGCTCATGGCCGAATATTGGGTAGAGCGCGGCTTAGAGTTCACGGCATGCGGTTTATGGAGCCACTTTGCTTTGAAGAGCACATTGCCTGCAAGTAGTGGCAGGAGCAGCCACTTACGAGGTACTGCCACACGCCTGAGCCTTCAAACTCTCGACTGCAATCCTCAGTGCACGTCTACATGGGTAGAGCAAGTTATCGAACTATTCGTGGATCCTGAACCATATGCTTGTGCTGGAAACCAAGACCCTTGAGGGTAGCCCGAGCCCTGGAACCCTAACTAACCCCAAGCAACCAAAACCCTGCACCCTGAGCCAAAAAACTCTAAACCCTAAACCCTAACCCAAAAACCTCCATCCTCAGCCCTCAATGGATCGAGGCCGGCACACAACTGACCACAACGACGTCCTTCTCGATCTGCATCCTCTCGAAGCATTTTGGAGGATTTCGCGCGAACTCTCGGACTCAGCACCCTCCGCGCTAAGTCCCTGAACACTGAACTCCTTGAGCGGTTTAGGGTTTAGGGTTTTCGGGTTTCGGGTTTAGGGATTGGGGTGCAAGAACATCCCTTTGGGCACGAAGCTCGCAACCATCCAGGTCTTTGGCGTAGGTTCTCGAAATGGGGACCCATTGCGTGCGATTCGGCAACAGTACCTCGACCTAGATGCACATAGGACGCTTCTAGAGTTCAGGACGCAGGGGTTTTGGAAAGCCTAGTGTGCCCATCCTCCGCAATACACAAGGGTCCCGGAGACTGCAGTGAAAGAACCGACCCAATACTGGCCGCGAAGCGTTGGTTTCCAAAGATGACCAAAGGTGCCTACAGGCCGTAAGTTTACAAGCCACCAAACTCGCTTGGAGGTTTAGGGTCAGGGTGTTTAGGGCTTAGGGCTTAGGGTTTACGGTTGGGATTTCGGGTTTAGGGTTTAAGGTTTAGTGGGCTCTTTTGTTGGGCTTTTGGTAGGGTTTAGGGTTTAGGGGATTTAGGGTTTAGGGTCTAGGGCAAGTCCTCTCTAAGTCAGAGAAGAGGGCTAAGGCCGCTGGCCACGCGGAGGCCACTGCGCCTAGGGCCATGTGGAGTCAGGGTTTAGGGTTTAGGGTTGAGGGTTTAGGGTTTAGGGTTAGTCATGGTCCAGGCTTTTCTGTCCTAAAGTCTTCACCTTCACGCCCTCACCACCTTGACTCCCAAAGGTCCTTAAGCCCTAAACGCTTCAGAAACCAACGGCCATCGCACCAACAGAAGACCCAAGCTTGAGGCAGGCACACACACCAGCCGGATGCAGGGTGTACTTCAGGAAGGACTTCCCCTAAACCCTAAACCCTAAACCCTAAACCCTAAACCCTAAACCGGTTTTGGGTTTTGGGCTTTGGGGTGCGGTCAAGCGAAGAATTCTGCCAAGGTCGCGGCAGGCCGTCATTGCATTGGTCGCGCAGGTCGGGTCGGGCCTGCCAAGCAGCATGTTCAACTAAGGCTTTTAGGGTTTAGGGTTTAGGGTTTAGGGTCCCCTATAAGTGCTTTAGGAGTTTGGCCAAAGAGCCAAGTCCACCACCCAGGAAGTGCTAACGGCCACCGCCAAAACCTTCTGCTACACGATACCACTTCATTCACCTCGGGGCAGTTTTCTGTGGTTGCACGCCGTGCGTTCTCTCTGCCCCCCTTCTGGTATCCCCTCCCCCCAATTGCAGCCCCAATACCTACACTCTAAATCTGAATAAACCCGAAACCCGAGTGCCACAGCCCTATAAGCCTGCATTGAAACCTAGACCCTGTAAAACCCTAAATCCTAAAACTCTGAATCCGCAAACTTATGAACCCTAAAACACACAAAACCCAACCTCGACCCAGAAACCCTCAACCCTCGCTCCGGGTTCTCGACCCGCCCCCCCCCCCCCCCCCCAGCCCCTACACCATCCTAAAGCCCTAAACCGCAAACCCTAAACCCTAAACCCTGAACCCCTGGCCCCAAAGAACCCCCCTCCCTGCCTCCATTTTCCAGCGGCTGCCTGGCCCAGGATCCCAAGCCAAATAATCAGCTGCAATCCGCTAACTCCCCGAAACCTATAAACTTTTTGGGGGCTTCCGAAATAAGGGGGGTCCTTCGTATAAGAGAATGCTACTATTTCGGGGACTAGGGGTCCCATATGCTGGGAAGCCCCCTTATAACTCTACTAGTGCGCCCTGTTCAGCTCCACCAGCCTTCAAAGCCTCGGTGTTGGACCAGACTGCGCTTAGGGTGCAGATAAACCACAGAAGCTCAGAAGCTCCGGGCATTCGCTTGGGTTTTGAGATTTCTTGGAGATTTCTTGGAAATTTCTTGGGGTTTGAGGGGTCAGGTAGGGGTAGAGGGTGGGGACTCGAAGTTTTTTGCCCGAAAACGACCTTGAGCCTCTGGCTCTAAATCGGGAAATTGCAGGGTTTCAGGGCTGCTGGTGCCCTGGCACCTGAACCCACGAGACCCAGACCGCCAGCCCTACGAAATGCTAAAAGGGAACCCTGGTGTCGGTCCGGTTTAGGGTTTAGAAGGTTTAGGGTTTAGGGTTGTTTAGGGTTTAGGGTTTAGGGTTCAGGGAAAGGGTTGCACTTTCCCGAAAGTCTCAACGCCGCCTCTGCCAGGTACATCTCCACAATGCAGAGTGCCTGCTGCCACCTCCGGGCGGCCTGGCACACTTTAAGATTTCGGACGTGCGGACCCTAAACCCTCAACCCTAAACAATATTTGGGAACAATCGTAGACCTAAAAAACCAGGAATCATATACTTCGTAGAACACCGACTCTGAGGCCAGTTGAATTTCCCAAGCCAGACCCACCAAAACGCAGAGTCATCATATCCCTCAAGGCACGACGTGTTCAGCGTTGAGCGCGACACACTCGCGACCGGTCCTCAACAACACGCTCTTGGGATCAGGTTTAGGCGTTTGGGATAGAAGCCGGGGTGTAGAACCCTCAAGGAAGCCCCTCCGAACAGCGAGAAGGTGAGCTTAGCATTCAAGAAGCCTAAACCCTAAACCCTAAACCCTAAACCTTAAACCCTAAACCCTAAGCCCTAAACCCTAAACCCTAAACCCTAAACCCTGAACCCTGAACCCTAAACCCTAAAGGCCCAGCACAGGTCATCGCCTGCAGCCCCGAGAGTGCCGCGTTGTAGACCTCACCGAATCGCGGGTGCGATGACGCGCTACCAACACCCCTGCCAGCATAACCCCAATCTGCCAAACCCTAAACCCTGAACCCTAATCCCTAAACCCTAAACGCCGTAAACCCTAAAGGCCCTAAACCCTAAAGGCCCTAAACCCTAAAGGCCCTAAACCCTAAAGGCCCTAAACCCCAAAGGCCCTAAACCCTAAAGGCCCTAAACCCTAATGGCCCTAAACCCTATACCCTAAACCCTAAACCCTAAACCCTAAACCCTAAACCCTAAACCCTAAACCTGGCCGGGGTGCTGCTGCGAGCTCCGTCTCAGGAGCTTCCATCGCCAACTGTCGGAGCAGGGCCGGGACCTCCCCCAGGCGGCTCGCAGAATGAAGGGTTTAGGGTTTAGGGTTTAGGGTTTGGGGTTTAGGGTTTAGGGTTTAGAGTTTAGGGTTTGGGGTTTAGGGTTTAGGGTTTAGGGCGGTTTGGGGGCTCTGAGGCTCGAGGAGTTTAGTGCAGCTTCAGGCTGATGCCTGTGCGCACAGGTTTACGGACCCCGGAAATCAGTTCGAAGGCACTTGGATTTTTCCAAGATTGGGAACCTTAACATCGAGCCCCAAAGAAATCCGAGGATCTCCCGAACCCTCCGGGAAGACTACTTTCCATTGCGGGCCGACATTTAAAGCAAACTATTTGGGGGCCCCAAGATTTTGGAATTGCTGAAGGCTACAGGAATAATGGAAGACCGCCGGCCTGCGAGGACGAGAAGCACAGAGATTATGAATTGCTTAAGATACGACGTGCTCTGGGATTTTTCGGAATTGGAGACTGCAGCAGAAAACCGCGATTCCCTACTACTTTTCATCTAGGACCATTGCCGAAATCATTCGCTCCTGACCTACCCCGTACCGGGCCGCAGTTCAGGCCAGAATTTGGGATTCATAAAACCCCCTCAAATGATGGAAAGCCCGGCGGGCCCACCATGACGAGGAAAAAACATAAGCCTTCCAAAAAGAGGGAGCGGAAAAGGACACAAGAGGACAGCCCCCTTTCCGCGCACCTCCCCCACCTCCCCCACCTCCCCCACCTCCCCCTCCTCCCAGCCCAGCCCAGGAAATAATAGACCCCTTACCATGATTCCCAGGGGGAGCCGGCCCTATTCATCAGAAGCACGGATTAGTAGGATCCCCTTGTCATACGGACCCCCAATAAGGTCCGAATATCGTAAACCCCCATGTCGGCTCCGCGTATCCACTCACATGGCGCACGCAGCTCGCCGCAGTCGGTGCAAGGATTGTCCGCGTGCGGGCTTTTGGGTTAAGGGTTAAGGGTTAAGGGTTAAGGGTTAAGGGTTTAGGGTTTAGGGTTTAGGACTTACATGCCCAAAACTTACTTCTCCAATAACCAAGGGAAAAAAGGGTTAAACTTTATATTACTCTTACGAAATGAGGACGCCCAAGAAGTTTAAAGTTCAACTACTGGCTAAGTAAGAAGAAGTCTGCATGAAAAGCAGGACGATGATCATACCGTCAACGGGCGCCGTTTCGAGTGCTTGTGCAACTTTCAGTGGCGTCCACACTTGAAGTCCACAGAGCAGACTTCGGGAAAGAGCTCAAGTGCCCTCCCAAGTCCAGGGTTTAGGGTTTAGGGTTCAGGGTTTAGGGTTTAGGGTTTAGGGTTTAGGGTATCGCCGTGTATACGCCCCAAACCCTCCAAGCCCTTACAGAGCCTGCTCTGGTGCTCCTTGCCCAAGCAGCCGCGCCGCCGCGGCGCGCGTGGCGACGCTGGGCTCCAGACGCAGCATCTCCATCCCTGGGCACCCGGAGTTCTCAGGCGCTTTCTCTTCCTGGAACCCGGGTTTAGGGTTTAGGGTTTAGGGTTTAGGGTTTAGGGTTTAGGGTTTAGGGTTTAGGGTTCAAAAAATGACCATGTCATGTTGTTCCCTTTCAAAGTAACCAGTCCAGCTCAGACTGCGATCCGAAATGGTCTGGGTTTGTGGGGGCGGCTGTCAAGGGAGTGGGTGGGGTGAAAGGGAAGGCGCTCGGCCTAGAGTCAGACCTTGACAGCCAACCGCACAGTTCAGTGCAGAGTATCTGAACCCGACACCCAGCTTTATTAAGGTAAGGGACTAGGATAGGCTATCAGGCCTCATAATCCCCATAATCAACCCTATAAGGGGCCTTTTTAAGGGGTTCTAGGGTATGATCGCCCGACCTGGGATGAGGGGCCACGACACGCGCTTCGTGGTGTTCTTGGGCTTCGTGGCTCCATGGGGTTCAGCAAACCGAGGCCCCGGACCATGGAGTAGATGCACACCTTGCTGCCACCTCTTCGAGAAGCAGCGCATCCTGAGAGGAGAAAAACCAGGATGGGCCATGAGACCCTATAACCCTCAAAGAAAGGCCCTGTATAGGGGATTATAGGGCCTGATGGCCCATCCTGGAAAGGAGACAAAATTATCATTACTGAGCCTGAAGCACGCACGACCAATACAATCAAGCGATGTACGTGCCACACCCTGAAAGCCGCTAGGAGTCGAGGTTTAGAGCCTCGAGTTTTAGGCTCCTTGGCTTACAACCTCAGATGAAAGATAGGACAGGCAGGCCGTTCTGGTTTAGCCCAGCACATCTACATCTGAGGTGCAGGCAGAGTGTTGTCCATCATGACATCCTCCTGAATGCCGGCGTCCTGGGCCTAACACACGGCTGGTTGGATCCAACAGATGGTGTAGGGTTTAGGGTTTAGGGTTTAGGGTTTAGGGTTTAGGGTTTAGGGTTTAGGGTTTAGGGTTTAGGGTTTAGGGTTTAGGGTTTAGGGTTTAGGGTTTAGGGTTTAGGGTTTAGGGTGTAGGGCTTAGGGTTTAGGGTTTAGGGTTGAAGGTTTAGGGCTCCACGGAAGTTGGATATTGCTGGCAGTATGCGGACATGCTTGTGCCACAGGGGATGGCAGTGCTTCACAAGCTTGTCGCGCCCTTTTTTGGGGAGCCCGCGCCCTTTGCTGGCGACCCCCTCGCGGGACGTATAGCCCTAAACCCTAAACCCAAAACCCTAAACCCTAAACCCTAAATCCTAAACCCTAAACCCTAAAGCTCGGCACCTTCCCAAGTATCAGTGGTGCGAGCCTGAGTTTGCTTCAGGGTTGAGTCAATGAGGCGGGCTTCGAGAGATCTGTACGTTTGGAAGACCAGAGAGTTCCAATCTGAAGGTCTGATTCTCGGCCGCTCCTTTCGGCTGCCGCCAACGCAAAAAACAACACAGACACAGACACAGACACAGACAGAGACACAGACAGAGACGCAGACACAGACACAGACACAGACACAGACAGAGACACAGACACAGACAGAGACACAGACACAGACACAGACACAGACAGAGACACAGACACACACAGAGACACAGACACAGACACAGACAGAGACAGAGACACAGACAGAGACACAGACAGAGACACAGACAGAGACACAGACAGAGACACAGACAGAGACACAGACAGACACACACAGAGACACACAGAGACACACAGAGACACACAGAGACACACAGAGACACACAGAGACACACAGAGACACACAGAGACACACGCAGACACACGCAGACACACGCACACACACACACACACATCCACACACACACACACCCACACACACACACACACACACACACACACCTCTCTACTATAGGGGTCGGAAGAATTACAAATAATATTCCCTTATGGACCCTTATATAATTGTACTAGAACATACTAGAATAACCCCCCCAAAACCCTATTCTAGTTTTTTAGGCCCCTACATTGCGCAGGTCGGACTCACGCATCTTCTGGAGCCGGGGTGGAAGCCCTAAAGCCCTGAAGCCGGACCCGAGCGACCTGAAACGTTGAACGCCAAACCCTCGAGGGTTTAGGGTTTAGGGTTTAGGTTTAGGGTTTAGTTTTGCAGGTCAAGGGTCTTGCTTCAGAGGACCTATCTCAGAAACCTTGAATAAGGGCTTCTCCCTGCAGATCATCGCACTAGCATCCCCACCCTGAAACCTGAACCCTTTCCCCGAAACCCTCCACCCTACACCCTACACCGTAAACCGTAAACCCTAAACCCTAAACCCTAAACCCTAAACCCTAAACCCTAAACCCTAAACCCTAAACCCCACACGAGACTCTAAACACCCTGGAGTCGACGTCCGCGCCTGAAAACCCCCTGCCCCTCCCAGCCTCCGCCAGGAGAGCAACTCCAAAGCGCCAAGGACGCGCATCTGTGGCCCCAGCCGCCTCTCGCCGTTAAGGGTTTAGGGTTCAGGGTTCAGGGTTTAGGGTTTAGGGTTAGCGCCTGAGAACAATATATGTGAAGCAGCGTAAGGGCGGTGGCGGGCACGAAATCCCTTTTTGGATTGGCAAGCAAAACGCTCAGGAAGCAGAGCATGCATGCATGAGACAAGCCAGTGCATTCCAAAAAAAGGCAACAAGCAAGCAAGCAAGCACAAAAACACATTTGAAACATCAAGCCCTAAACCCAAAAGCCACAACCCTGAACCTTTGGTTAGCAAACAATTTGGGATGTTGCCCCCTCATGCTAACAGCCCTTAATAGGGATTATAGTACCCCCCCTACTATAATCCCTATTAAGGGCTGTTTTTGTATAAGGGGGAACATCCCAAGAAGCAATACTTAAGTTGAGGGTTTAGGGTTTAGGGTTTAGGGTTTAGGGTTTAGGGTTTAGGGTTTAGGGTTTAGGGTTTAGGGTTTAGGGTTTAGGGTTTAGGGTTTAGGGTTTAGGGTTTAGGGTTTAGGGTTTAGGGTTTAGGGTTTAGGGTTGAGGGTTGAGGGTTGAGGGTTGAGGGTTGAGGGTTGAGGGTTGAGGGTTGAGGGTTTAGGGTTTAGGGTTTAGGGCTATGGTGCTGCTGCTTCGGGCTGCCGAAGGTGGCCTCCAGCCGGGCCACGCCTTCAGCGCACGCGCTGAGGCATCCTCGGCTCAAGGGGGCACTTAAGGGAGTTCGGGGGTCCGGGTTGAGGGTTTAGGGTTTAGGGTTTAGGGCTTAGGGTTTAGGGTTTAGGGTTTAGGGTTTAGGGTTTAGGGTTTAGGGCTTAGGGTTTAGGGTTTAGGGTTTATCGGCCTGAGGGTGCCAGGAGGCTTCGCAGAACAAGAGAAAAGTTGGTCATGAGACATTCTCCCGTAGTCTAGTATACTCTGCCCGGAGCCAACACGCAAGAATGCCATCAGGCAGAAGCTCCCTGCAAAAGGTGCGCCTGTCCTACAAAAAAAACCAACATGCTTGGCAAATCTACCGATCCTGCCAACTCATGTATTCCTGGAGATAGTACTTGTCATCTAAATCGACAAAGACTCGTGCTGCGCAAGCATCATGGATGCACAACTCAAGTTTTCAAAGGGTCACGACCGTTTGGTGGTATTGGGCTAGCTGTACATATACTGAAGTCCTAGAGCAAACCCCATAAGCCATAAAACCAAAGCCACTACCCAAGGTACAACGATGATCACGCTCAAGCGACGGGTGTAGGAGAACAATGTTCTCTGCAGCTGACGGCGCGCCATGTCCTGACAAGTGCAGGCACCCAAACAGCCGCTTAAGCCCCTGAAGGCCCTGAGACCCTCACTTACTCCAACCTCAGCATAAACGAACTCCCCACACAAACATCCCAAGCACCGCATACTACACCGACGACGACGACGACGACAACTACTACCCAGTCTGACAAGCACACCCCTCCCGGACCTCTAGGACATCCAGGGCTGACCGCCAGGCATGGCGTAAACATCCGATGACCTGGGTCTAGGGTTCAGGGCTTGAGGGCTTGGTGCCAACGAGGGACAACCCTTCATGTTGCGGGACCCCAAGGCGGGTGGGTATTTCTCTGTCACTTGATGCGCTGCTTGACTGGTGAATGCTTGGACGTAAGCATCCGATGACCTGGGTCGAGGGTTCAGGGCTTGAGGAGTTTGGGGCATTCGGTGTTTTCCACGGCTTCCAATGCCACCAAGTTCATGCACACCATGTATATGGAGGCCATGAGCCGTCCGCATTGGGGTTTCGGGCGTAGGGCTATAGTGCTCATCTTTCAGACACGAGGCCCCAAACCCTGTAAATCCAGACTCACCTGAAGGCCCAGATCAGAGGGTGTCTAGGGTTTAGGGTTTTAGGGTGGTTTAGGGTTTTACGGTTTAGGGTTTCAGGCTTTAGGGTTTGAGGATTTTGGGGTTTGAGGGTGCTGGTTTGGTACTCGTCCAGTCTAAGCGCTGTGTCCACCAAAGCTGGCGTCACTGGCGGGCCCCTGATTGTTGTCACATGGGGCATCCGGCTTTCGGGTATCAATGTCGCATAATGTCGCGCCTCCTTCAAGGCGATACGAGGGCACGCTAGAAAGAAACAAGTTCATGTTTTGAGGGTGAGCCCAAAGAGCCCAATATCCCTTGATTGGGAATATTGCTTAGTTTATATAGGGATCCTTAGTATGGTTTCAGGTGTATTCCTTAATTGAGGGGTATTGGGCCCTTTGGGAGTGTATGGGCCCTCAGCTGCCTTTGCGATGCCCCCTGCCCCCACCTCCCGAAAAGCAACTAGTCCGGGCGGGCTGAAAAAGGGTGGTCACGTTGTTGAATCCCTTTCATTTCTGGGGTGCCCAGGGTCTGCTGCAAAGGCTCCTAAACACTCAGAAGCTTGTCCCTAAGATTCGCCAAGGCTGTCAGTCCAGAGAATAGGCTGGACTGGGTGCTTCTTGATCTTCCTGTCAAGGGAGGTTCAGAGCCCGCGTCCCCCACAGCTTCAGAGTAACGGTAACCCTAAACCCTAAACCCTAAACCCTAAACCCTAAACCCTAAACCCTAAACCCTAAACCCTAAGTCTTCTAGCCAAAAACCCTGTCAGAATCCTTTCTTACCCCGGGGACAGCATCAGAGCGGCATGCCCTACATTCAAGTTCTTGGTGGGCGCCGCAAAGCCCCCTTAACGCTCTAGAGCGCCCTTAAAGCGGCAACTCCTTGAAACCAGCCAACACACCTGAACCCCTGTAGAAGCAAATCTCGAAACCCGGCCCCTAACTAAACCCTAAACCCTAAACCCTCAACCCTTAAACTCGAAAGAGCACCTCAAAGAGAAAGCCCTAAAGCCGAACACCCTCAAAGCCCCAAAAACATCTGCATCTGGCCCACACCTACAATCCTACATCTTGCCTCTCCCGGGCACGCTCTAACAGTTCCAGCGCCCATTCCCACGCCTGCGAGCGCTTCATGCGAGGACTCATCGTGCTTCGAGGAGGGCTGAATAGGGTTTTAGGATCACCTTGCCCCGGGACTGAAGGACCCTAAACCCTAAACCCTAAACCCTAAACCCTAAGAATAAGTAGCTTGCCTGCTCACCGCAGACCTCGATCGCCTCTCGCAGGAGGGCACCGTTGGGAGCTCTACCATTTTGCCAAACATCCTGAGCCGGCGCGGAGTGAGGGTATAGGGTTTAGGGTTTAGGGTTTAGGGTTTAGGGCTTATAGGGTTTAGGGTTTAGGGATTCTACTTAAAGGTTCATTGCACTTACTAACCACATAGTAATTGAACTTATAACCCAATTACAACCATATTAGGGCAATTAAGGGGCTTATGTGTGTGTTACAAATACAGTTATAATTGGTGATCCAATACCACTCCGAGTAGGCTTCAGTGTCAGAGGGCCTGATTCATTGGTACGAGTAAGCTGGTTTGGGATGCAGGGTTTAGGGTTTAGAGTTTAGGGTTTAGGGTTGAGGGCTTGGGCTTGCAGAGGGCCGACCTCCACCGCCCTCACCGCCTCCGGCCAATTACCGGTGTGGGCTGCCTCCGCCACGTTCGCAGCTGCCTGCTTCAGAGGCACTGCACCATAGGGTTTAGGGTTTAGGGTTTAGGGTTTGATGCGTTCTCACATCCCTGTGAGCCCTGAAAGGGCGTGGGCAAGATAGGCCCAAAATCGAGTGAAGCTGCGAGCTTAGAGATTGCGCACGATGCTACGAGACTGCACGTAAAGCCGCGAGAATGCCCACGCACCTGAGGGTGTAGGGTTCAGGGTTTAGGGTTTAGGGTTTAGGGTGCGTGACATCTCGTGACGCTCACTCGCCTTTTCACATACGTTGGTACCGCTGGAAGACAGGAGAGAAAAAATGTGGGAGTCAACAGGGGTGCGAGCGCCGTGAACAACATGGCGCGTTGCGACGCTGATGGCCGGGAGGGGGGGGATCCTTCAACTACAACGATGGAACGATGCAGCGCGGCGCTGCGGAACGTGAAGGCACGCTGCGGCGCAGTGGACGCTGCTGTGCGATATTGTGAGTGCAGGGGCGGAAAGGGTCCACAAACCCGAGAAGGATATCCTATCAATGTGAACATGTCGTGCCTCCGGGATGTGTTGGGGGAGGAGCGGGGATCCTTGGACTAAAAGGCGCGAGTGCGCGCGTCGCGTCACGCCCATCCATATGCTGCGGAACTTCGAGGGGTTTGTCCCCACGTGGTTTGGGACCAAAAGGCGTTGCTGCCATGGGCTATTGTTATGGGGTCGTAGCCTGCGAAAACAAACGCTGAGCTGAACCTCTGAACAATTCTGGTTGTGGCGAAGGCCTTCGCCAAGCGAGCCCGCCGGGTGATAATCTCTGGTGCACCTGCTTGGAAGTTCATGGTACTTACTAACCAGCTATAACTGTAAATGATAACCCGCTTTTGAGCCCCTTAAGTGCCCGCAAAAGGTTACGATTGGGTTATTAAGTACAGTACCGTTTTATCTGGGTTAATTAGTACTATGAATCTCCAAGTAGCATTGCAAATTGGTCTGAGTCTCAGGATTTAAGGCTTGTCGGGCTTAGGGTTTACACGGGTTTACATAATTAGGGCCTTTAGGGTTTCGGACTCTCAGGACTTTCCCCGCCCTTCCTCCGCACCCAAGAAACTCAAGAAACCCAAACCCTGCAACTTCATGCCCTGAAATAAACCACCGAACCTCATAACTCCACCCTACTCCACCCTACAACCCCAAAGCTCTGCATGTCAATGTCAAAGCTTCAAGTACATCATGGCTGTCTCAGAACCCTATAGTTACCCTGAAAGCTCCGAATCCTGGCTTGAAACTTGTAAGTTGTGTTGCCGAATCCTGATCCAACCCTCAGGGTTTATGGGGTTTGGGGTTTAGGGTGCGCAGGTTCCTAGACCCAAGAGGAAGCTAGAAATGAGCAGGGTGCCGTGTTTTGTTAGAGTTTCTTGTACTTGAACCTAAGCCCTAAAACAAGGGAATAAGGGCCACCCTAAACCCTAAACCCTAAACCCTAAACCCTAAACCCTAAACCCTAAACCCTAAACCCTAAACCCAGTTCTGGGTTTTAAAGTTTCGCAGCATCGGTGTTACCATTTCCGATGCATCAAGCACGGGAAGAGCGAACCACCCCCCCCCCACCCCAAACCACAAGAATGCAAACATGCACAAGCGACCCAAAAGGAGTTATTACTAGGCTTAAGTTGGGGATATGATCCCTTCCCCCTAATACTAAACCCCACCCGAATTTCAAACACCATGTTTCCTTCATCGAATGGATCCTTCCTCTACCCGCCGCCGTTGCCCCTATTTTTATTGAAAGTTAGTGTTTCGCCTAGGCGAAATGCATATTTTGGCAGCTGGAAAAACGAGCCTATTTTTGACGTCGTCGTTGCGAATCCTCGGGTTTTTGCAAAATCTTGGGGTCCAATTTTGGTTTCGGCTCGCAGAGCAATGCAGTGCGACTTTTGCTTTCTTGCATGTGCCGTCGGGAGGCAAGTGTCAAAGCTTTGCAACGGCTTTGCCGGTTTATTGAAAGTTAGTGTTTCGCCTAGGCGAAATGCATATTTTGGCAGCTGGAAAAACGAGCCTATTTTTGACGCGGCGGCACGTTGATCGGTCAGACGAGCAACGGTGGCCATCATATGCAACGCCGTCCAGTCTCCAGAAAAGCGATTCCACACCAAGCGCCCGCTCCCCATTCCGGGTCGCCCTGTCTCCTGGCTGTCACCCTGCTCGCCGTCGACGACATAGTCCAGCTCGTTTTTCCAGCTGCCAAAATATGCATTTCGCCTAGGCGAAACCCCCAAAGGAAAAGGACGGGTTGGCCAGGGTAGACAGGAAAGAACGGAACTAACCCCCCCCCCCCCCACCACCCCAAAACCAGGTACGGTTTCACCGCCTTCTGCTTCCTCTACCCTCATGCCTCTATACAGAAAAGACCCGCAACTCCCGCAAGCCATTCTTCCCAGGGTCCCCCTCTACACTACCCCCCTAGGTTCCCCCTTAATTAGCCTTAATTTGGCTGTATCATCCCTCGGTAGAAAAGAGGGGGGTAGCAGGGGAACCCATGAATTCAGGACTTGAGCTTACGATGTTTCTACTCCAAAGCTTCAGTGGCGCTATGCAGAATTGAACCCAAAGCTGCTACAGGTTTGGGTTTAGGGTTTAGGGTTTAGGGTTTAGGGTTTAGGGTTTAGGGTTTAGGGTTTAGGGTTTAGGGCTTAGGGTTTAGGGTTTAGGGTTTAGGGTTTAGGGTTTAGGGTTTAAGGCATCCGCCCTACACCCAAATGCCCCGCGCCACCTCGCCAGGCCTTCGCTGCCTCAGGCCGACTCCGTCGCACTGCCTTCGGAAGACTTGAAGCTGGCTTAGGGTTTGGGTTTAGGGTTTAGGTTTTAGGGCTTAGGGTTTAGGGTTTGGTCTAGGGTTTAGGTTTAGGTTTAGGGTTCAGGGTTCAGGGTTTAGGGTTTAGGGTTCAGGGTTCAGGGTTTAGAATTTGGGGTTTGAGGTTGTGCAATGTAGGGTTTCAGTGTTCAGCGTTCCGGGTTTAAGGCTCACAGCTCCGGATCACACGCCTTCTGTCGCGAGACTTTCGTGCACGCCACCTACAGAATGACTGGAAGATACGGACCTTTGGAGCAACCCCCTTGGTATGGAGGGTTTAGGGTTTAGGGTTTCGGGTTTGGGGTTTAGGGTTTAGGGTTTAGAGTACCTGTTGCTCTTGCCAGGGTCAGACTATGGAAGCCCTAACTCTCTGGACCGTAGGACGTGGGATATGGCAGCTTCAAGACCAAACGACCCCAAACCGTGAAGCCTAAAGTAACCTCCGAATCCACAAATGTAAGCCCCACGAACCCTAAACCCTAAACCCTAACCCCTAACCCTCAAACAACGGTGTCTTCCAGCCACGGCCTCGGCAATGCCATGCTGACCAGCCTCAATGCAGGCACGCTCCACAGCACTTCCTTGGCATTCCAGGGATGTGTGGTCTACATTACATGGTGAGTTCTCTAAGCCATGGTCCCTTTTTTGTACCCTAAACATTAGGGGCCGCCATATAACAGTAGCTCACAAAAGGGACCCCAATCTAAAGAAGAGACCATATCAGAAGCCTGCGAAAGCCCAGACCACTGGGTGACTAACACCCTTGAACCCTAAACCCTAAACCCTTAACACTAAACCCTGGGCTTTTACAAGGAGACATTAAGCCCTTGAGCCCCGACACCCCTAAAACACACCCTAAACCCGAACCCTAAACCCTACACCCTAAACCCTAACCCCCAAACCCTTCACAAACCTTCGGAGATCCGGAGCTCGAAATCCAATGTCCCGCATCGCGTGCCAATCTGCCTGGAAAGCAGAGTTCGGGAGCAGGCGTGGGTCATGCAAATTTGAGGCAAGGGTTTAGGGTTTAGGGTTTATAAGGGTTTAGTGTCTCGGGTTTCGGGTTTGAGGTTTAAATTTCAGGGCGAAACCAAAGCCAGGCAAAACACAAGCAACCACAAACAGCGTGCCATAGTAGCCACAATGGGAACTTGAAGCCGCGCAACGCCTGTCATTTTGATTGAAGGGGGCTCCGACACGGGAGACCAGAGACTACCTATACTGAACTTGGAAACAGCTGTTTCCTAGGAAGTAGATATTAATCTATAGTACCCAAGAGGTTTAGAGGTTTCGCGAGTTGGAGCTGCTGAGTAAACCTGTCTTATGCAAGTTGAGCCCCTGCAGCACAACTGAAACCAATTGCAGGGGATGAGAGCTTTGCTAGCTCAGGGCAGCCGATTTTGGGGATTCTGCTTTTGATGAGTTGAAGACCCCCCCCCCCCCCCCCCCCCGCTGCGTCCCCCCCACCCCCGTCCCCCCCCCCCCCCCCCCCCCCCCTCTCTCCCCCCCCCCCCTTCCCCCCGCGCCCCCACCACAACCAAAAACATTGTAAGCAACACACAAAACAAACCTAAGCCAAAAGCGTAAGCTCTACGTTTCCAGGGCTGTAAACCCTGAGGCCTAACCATAAACCCGCGATCAGAAGATCTGAGCCTCAAGCCTCAACAGCCTCAACACAAAAGAACCCGAGAGTCCCCAAGCCATAACATTCCCAAATCCTAATCAAACCCTCAACCCCCAACTCCCCAAACACCCCAAGCACCTCCGCAAGAAGGCCCAGCGCCTAGTCGGCTTGTGGTTGAGAAACTTGTGGGGTGAGGACTTAGGGGGAGTTTTCTGAAGGCTGACAGGGAGGCTCGTGGCTTCGGGGGCTTAGGGCTTCTTCTGCCTGCGTGCTGCAGAACAGGGCTTTGGGTTTTCTGGGGGCTTGGCCTTGGTGACGTAGGGCGGAATAGTTCAGGGATTAGGGTTTAGGGTTTAGGGTTTAGGATTAGGGTTTAGGATTTAGGATTTCGGATTAGGGTTCAGGGTTTAGGGATTTGCGGATACATTGGGTTCCTGTTTGGCGTGTATAGCTGCGCATTGCTTCGGGTGTCCGCTTTGCTTGTCGAGTCTTTGAGCTTGGCATGCGGTACTGGAATAGGGTTTAGGCCTTATAGGGTTTTTAGGGTTTGTGGCTTGTCAAACTTGTTGGGGGGATGTCTTCCCCAAAGGGTCCATGTACCTCAATATTATGTACTCGGGCCCTAAAGTCCCTCAATAGGAGGTACTTTAAGGCCCAAGTACTCCCCATTTAGGTACATGGACCCTTAGGGCTTAAAGACTTCTGCAATGAAAGCACCTACATGGCTCGAAAGGACTCACAGGCGCTGAACCCTAAACCCTAAACCCTAAACCCTAAACCCTAAACTCTAAACCCTAAAAGCTGCCCCTGCAGGCACGGCACCTCGCTGTAGTAACTTGAGAGGAAGTCTTGGGGCTAGATGATCACCAACACCCCCCTAAACCCTAAACCCTAAACCCTAAACCCTAAACCCTAAACCCTAAACCCGAAACCCGAAACCCGAAACCCTAACCCCCAATACTTTCGATGTTCAGGCTGTTCGTGATTCAGAGGCTTCAAGAATGGGCTTTACGCGTCTGGCTTAGGAATGCGTCCTGCTGCCACTCGTGACAGCGCCCGCAGGCTACGGCTGCCGTGGTGAGGAGCCTCCGATACGTTTCGGGGTTTAGGGTTTAGGGTTTAGTGTGTCGGGTTTAGGGTGTAGGGGTTTACAGGGCTTACTTAGGGCGCAGGGTCGGGGCCAGTGTGAGGCAGTTTAAAAAGGAATTTGCCAGCAAGGTGCAGGCCAAACATGATCCACAGAACCGGGATTTGAAACCCCAAAATCCTAAACCCCAGTCGAGATGTGATGTCACAATGTATACGCCTCAAAAAGAGATTACCGTTACTGTACAGGATGCTACGGGCAGAGAAGCCCTCGCGGATCCCGCAAACATGTTCGGGCAGAAAATTCCCGAACGCCTCGCATCAGGCTCCTCCGCGGGGATGAAGCCCTCTGCACCTGCTGCATTGAAAAACGGCTAGGCTCGACAACGAGTTGCCTTACAGGACCGTGCACTGAAACTGAAGCTGCCTGAGAAAGTTACGTCGCTATATGTGTCCCCTCTTGCATCGGCCGCGCCAGCACGATTTGGAGTACCCAACCACAGGTCGCTTCGTGGAGAGGGGAGTTGGTACTTCGGCTCTCTGCGACCAAGACCTCCTACTACATGCTCGCATGAGTAACCATCGCTTTTTTCCAGAACAGTAAGACAACAGTTGCCAGAGCATGGTTTAGGGTTTAGGGTTTAGGGTTTAGGGTTTAGGGTTTAGGGTTTAGGGTTTAGGGCATGGGCAAGCAAAATAGACCCTGCAAACGCAATTCAGGAAAAGAAGCTCCGGAGGCAATGCCTGAACGCAGCAGGCGCACTTGCTCAAGGCATTGCCTGGGCTGTTCTTGCATCACTGTCCAGGCATGGGGGGGGGGGGGGGGGATTCGGGTTGGTTAGGGTTTAGGGTTTAGGGTTTAGGGCTTAGGGTTTAGGGTTTAGGGTTTAGGGTTTAGGGTTTAGGGTTTAGGGTTTAGGGTTTAGGGTTTAGGGTTTAGGGTTTAGGGTGTTTGAGTTTAGGGGATTGTAAGGATTTGAAAGAAGGGTCATGAGACCTTGTAGCAGGAACTCTGAAAGTCAGGTGTTCGCCAACCTTCAGTTGGGAGTCACGAAAAGTGCAGCAACCGCTTTTCCTGTGTGAAGGTCGATCCGTCGCAATAATCATGAGGCAAATTGGTGGTGCAGGCTTAGGGTTTAGGGTTTTTAGGGTTTATAGGGTTTAGGGTTTAGGGTCATCCGCGGGTTCTCTATTTTCCTGCTCGAGTCACTGCTTCTCGGTTTATCGAGGAAATTATTCCGCTCCTTGTTCTGGCAGCAGTTGGCGCTAGTCCGGGGCGGCTTTATGAATCCATGCAGGCGAAGCTTTTCGCAGGTGCATCCTCAATCCTATAAACCCTAAACCCTAAACCGTAAACCCTAAACCCACCTTCATTCGTCGGAAGTCTACATTCCACCCAGAGGATCCTAGGCGAAAACCCCCCCCCCCCCAACGCAAATTCGGCGCGAAGCCCCATGTCAAGCCCAGTATCTGCCAATCGCTTTGCACTGAAAGTGCTTGGACCAGCCTGGGAGTTGGGGGGGCCCTTACCCTACTTTGGAGGTTTAGGGTTTAGACCCTGGAAAAAATATATACTTTTTAGGGAGAAGAGGCTATACTAGGAACACTGAACCCCAAAAATGCATTAAAGTACAGTACCCAGGTTAAGGTGAGGCCGGAAGTGAAGGTTCCTTGAAGCGTCCCTTTCTGAAAAACCTCAACCTGAAGCCCGCAACATCCCAACCCCAAAACCCTAAACCCTAAACCCTTGACCCTAAACCCTAAACCCTAAACCCTCAACCCTACTAGTGTCTGTGAGATTGGGCCTGCAGGCATTTGTCTTAATTTTAATTCTGCGCCAGCTGGGGGGGATGCTTTTTTGTAGAAGTATACTGCCACGGGCCGGTTTAGGGAGTTGGTTAGGGTTTAGGGTTTAGGGTTTAGGGGTTAGGGTTTAGGGTTTAGGGCTTAGGGCTTAGGGCTTAGGGTTTAGGGTCTATACAGCATCCTCGATCCTCAACGAGGAAGCAGATGCTTCAGCCGTGCTGCACGGTCCGAACCACGTTGTTTGCCGGAACGCTTTGCCTCCACAGGTCAGGTATATAGGCTGAGTGGTTTAGGGTTTAGGGTTTAGTCAGGAGTATGGTTGAGTTGTTGCTAAATGCCCCAATGGCCCCCATGTCCATACTCACGAGTTCCGTCGCTCATGCCCAGGCGCGGCGTGCATCTGGCAGGTTTAGGGTTTAGGGTTTAGGGTTTAGGGCTTAGGATGTAGGATTTAGGGTTTAGGGATTGTTTTGCACCGCCGGTAACCAAGCTGTTCGTTGTTCCATGTCCAAATCCTGCTTCACCTTGGGCAACCTTGGTTCATGAGGGCTTAGTATATTATCTTCTGTCATGCGCACTTGGATTGTTTGAGGTTTACGCTGGCATTTCTTGGCATGTAAGTGGATGTTTCCGATCAGCTTGAGCTCGCATGCACGCACGGCAGGGCTTAACATGGTCCCTTTCTCAGAGGGGCACGGATCGGCAAACAGTCAGGTGAGCTTGCAACTGCCACCCCGGTCCTGGTCTTAACCCACATGATCCATATGGTCACCTGTAGCCGGAAACACTCTAACCCCAAAACCCTGAACCCTAAACCCAAAACCCTAAACCCCAAAACCCCAAACGCCTATAAATCACGTGACAAAATCAGGGGCGTTAGGTGAACAAACGCCGGCAACAGAGACGCAGAACGAAGCGCTTAGATATCGCCGTGCCTCGTCATGTCATGGACCAACTCCTTGGTCGGGGGGGGGGCGGGGGGGGGGAATGAAGGGGGGGTGTAAGGGTTAGGGTTTAGGGTAGAAGGGGGGGGGTAGAGGGTTTAGGGGGTTTAGAAGGGTTGGGTTTAGGGTATAAGGGTTTAGGTTTAGGGTATAGGGGGGGGGGGGGGGGGGTATAAGGGGGGGGGGGGGTACAAGCGGGTATAAGGAACTGTGGAGGCATTCGGACTCCTGGGACGGCATGGGGCTGAAGGAAAACAAGAAAGTTCCAAGAAAGAGAGGAAGTCTGAACGGCTCGACTTTTTGACCCCTCAGGGCTTAGCAGAGGTTTGGGGCTTAGGGTTTGGGTTTTAGGGATTATGCTTGCGTTGTGAGCCCCTTGCCATCACCTGGCCCAGGCCCCTCTGACCTGCTGTGCTGAGGGGCCAAGCATCCCCCCTTTATTCAACAGTCCTGAAACCTTAGACATCCCCTGGGTTTAGGGGTTAGGGTTTAGATTGTCAATCCTTAATCGGGATTATAGTAATTACCCTCCCACATGATAATCCCCATTAAGGACTCTTAGTTCGCAATGGGAACATCCCAACTATAAACTGCACAACTCGAAGCCGCAAACAAGTGCGAATGAAGCAACGTTAGGGGATAGGATTAGGGGGACACTTGTTGGGGATATAGACCCTCTGAAGAAGGTCCCTTGTTAAAGAGAGCCACAAGAGGATTGAGAAGGGTTCCCTTTTCAGGGTCTCCCCTATCCTACCCAGCAATAATGTCCCAGGCTCGCAAGCCTTGGAGACCTCGTTGGCGCCGGTGCATGCCTTGGCCGCGGTGCTCATCGTCCTGCTCACAGGGTTTAGGGTTTAGGGTTTTAGGGTTTAGGGTTGTGTACAGACACCTGCCTTGAGAGCGCTGGAGTATAATTTCTGACCTATCCGAAAGTATGGGCCTCTAGGGACATTTGGATAAGCAGCGGCCACAAGTGATGCAACAACAGGGAAGGCAGTGAAAACAAATACACTCACCGTCAAAACCTAGAAGAACAATCCCGGTGGAACTTGCGGGGTGGCGACAGTCAACGTCCGACGGCGGCACCGAAGCCGACATTGTGTTTGTCTTCACGTTCTGGAGCACCAAAGTCACGCAGGGCAACTTGCAACAAGACTTTCTCCCGGCCGCCTAAAGAAAAAGCGTGGCAAACGTCTACCGATTCTGACCCCAACACTTTGCGTCAGCCTGGACTAAAAAAGAGCCGCTCAAAGTGAGAACTTGAATGAGCAAACTATAAACCCCCCACCCCCGCCCAACACTCAAGTAAGCTCAAGCCATGCGTGGCTCATGAAGGTTCAGGTGTTTAGTGCTTAGGGTGCAGGGTTTCAGTTTCAGGGCTTGTGGGGTTGTCAGATGTAAGGGCATAGAGGTTGGATTCGGGACATGCGGCTAGACCCTAAACCCTAAACCCTAAACCCCAAAGCCTGCCGCGCCAAACCCCTAAACCCAAGTACTGATCCCTGCCTGGCACTGGGCGTGAGCCCCACAACCGGCAGCGCTCCCAGCAGGTGTAGGGCACGAGTCCAGATGCTGGCAAGCTTCCAATGGTGAAACCCTAAACCCTAAGCCCTAAGCCCTATGCCCTAAACCCTAAACCCTGAACCGATGGGGGCTTATTGATGCTTGCTTAGGGAATAAAAGTCTTGAGGGATGGAAGGGTGAAAAGGTTTAGGGTGGAGTTTTTGTGATTTTGAGGATTCGGGTTTGTAGGTCTAGAAGGTTCTCGCTCTCTCTCTCTCTCTCTCTCTTTCTGTCTCTCTCCCTCTCTCTACCTGTATGAATGCACCTAAGTACAACTGCGCATTGCTCGTCCTTGGCCGTTCCGCTCTGTTTGTTTGCTTGTTTGTTTTTGTCCGTTCGTTTATTTGCTCTGTGTGTGTGCTTCGTTTGTTGGTTGGTTTGTTTGTTTGTTTTGCGTGCTCTCTCTCTCTCTCTCTTTGTCTGTGTGTGTGTGTGTGCTGTGTGTGTTGTGTGTGTGTCCCTACAAACCCTATAAACCCTACAAAACACCATAAACCCTACAAACCCCTATACTGGGACTCTTCACTGCCCCGAAGAAATCCACGAGCTGCAGCTCATGAGTGAATGGGGGTTTGGGCTTCGCGTTTGAGACGAAGGGCCTGGGTTCTGTAATCGAGGGGTAAAGAATTAGAATACGATTTTGGGGGTTATTGTAGTACAATTACAAAGGGGACCATAAGGGAATGCTGTTAGTAATACTTCTGACCCCTACAATATACCTCTAAGCCCTGAAATGAGAGCTGCCTACGCAACGCTTGTCGTAGAAAGGGGCCCAGGGGTTCGGTTAAGGCTCGTCTGGTAGGTCTTGGCGGCTTGGGGGGAATGGCTGTGAGGTTGGATGGGGTACTTTCACAGCTCCGGAAGCGTGTAGGTGTATGGAAAATTCACGAGAACCTATATATCCCTAAACGCATGAGGGTGTTCCGGCGTGGTAAAATTATGTCGCATGCGGCATCATGCCTGGGCCGGACATACTTATACCCTGTACCCACCTATTCATCTCAACACTCCAGAACACCAACAAACAAGCAAACAAAGCAGACACAAATGAAACAAAACAGAAGCCCTGGCCCTAGATTCAAAACCCTCAAAACAAGTGCTGTCAGTGTGACGATTGAGGATTCGCGAGCTTGGGGCTTGAAAAGTTTAGGGTTTAGGGTTTAGGGTTTAGGGTTTAGGGCTAAGCACGGGTACAGAAGCCAAAGTGGTGTCGGCTTATTTGAAGAGGGCGGTGGGGGAGGCTTCCGGCAACTGATGGCCTCGCCCGCGCCAACGCGCCTGAGCATCAAAAGACACTTCGAACCCCACAAACCAGAATTGGTCATCCGGCCAGAAGAAGAAAACTCCTTGACAATAACTATTGATAAGGACAAAACAGGGTTTAGGGTTTAGGGTTTAGGGTTTAGGGTTTAGGGTTTAGGGTTTAGGGTTTAGGGTTTAGGGTTTAGGGTTTAGGGTTTAGGGTTTAGGGTTTAGGGTTTAGGGTTTCGGGATTCGGAGCTGGGAAATCCGAAAAGATCTCGGGCTTTAAGGGCCACCGTAGCGACGGGATCATGCAGGTGGCCGTTCAAAAGCACTAGGCCATCTTGCTCCTCATTGTGAGCTCTACGGACACCATACAAACCTGGACATCCACAAGGACTGCTGATGGCCCTCTATGGCCCTCTCTGCGCGACGGTTTGGGGTTGGGTCTGAGCACGACTTGGCCGGGCGAAAATTTCGGTGGATCGAACTAATCTGGAATCAACATAACAGGACCCTCTTAGAGACATTTGCCTTCTAGGAAACGTCTATCCTATGAGCAAGGGCCCCCTCGGATACCTACATGTTTGGGGCGCTTGGCACCAAATGTCCATTTTTTGGGCTGTTTGGGGCCTCCCAGCTTTGCAGGGGGAATCTTTGCCAGTGCCGCTGCCGCTGAGGGGGTCTGCCCGGGGGTGGAGACGGGGGAGGTATACTGACAAAAGATTTGCGTTCGAATAGAGAAGATGGGCGAGGGTGAGCCGGGTGTGGAGGGACCTCCCCACCAATAATGGATGCCTCGTTTCAACTAAGTTCGCTTTAAAGCTTGCTTGGTAGCCCAGTAACCATATTATGATAAGGGCACCCTTTTTGGTGTTGGTTACTTTATGAGGGAACCCATAACCCCCTCCAAAAAAAAGGTAAAGGGTACCACTGGGCTACTAAGCTTGAGACCAGGGGCCAAGTGCCGAGTTGAAGCTCACCACGTCCGGGAAGGGACCGTAAACGAGCCTAAGGCCGAGAGATTTATTTTCTTAGGTGTACCGGGGTTTGGGGGTTTAGGGACTCATTGGGGCCTTGGGGAAGGGTTGAGGGCGTTTAGGGTTCTCTTGTGGCGGGAGAGGACAGCAGGGGCGGGAAGTAGGGCGGTTGGACTTGGGCACCTCGGGGGGTTAGGCATGCTGCTTCGCGCCATTGTCAATTCAAACCCCGAATCGAAAATCCCCACACCCTAAATCTGGGTAGCCCAGTAACCATATTATAATAAGGGCACCCTTTTTTGAGTTGGTTACTTTCTAACGGAACCTTGAACCCAAAAAAGGGAAAAAGGTATCACTGGGCAACCAAGAAAACCTAAACCCTAAACCCTGGCACCCTGGGCCCTAAACCCCCCACCCCCCCCCAGTTACAGTGAGCCTTGCCGATCCCGAAGCACTCCCAAATTGCATATGCATCTCGAGTCGAGTGGCATCTCGTTCAGGATCAGGAGGCTCCTTTGCCACTGTGCGCCTGCCGGAGGAAGTCCGAGTTTCGGCGCAGAGTTTAGACTTTGATTGCTTGCACTCAGGAGGGTAGCTATAATTTAAACTTTTAGCTGCCTTAATAAGAAACCCAATAATTAAACCCAAAAAAGGTAAGGATCTAAAGTTACAGTAAAGTACCACAAAGTTTAGTCATCAGGGGTTAGCGGGTTCAAGCGTTCAGGAGCGGAGATTGAGGGCTTGGTAGCCTGGCGAGCTGGCGCAGAGAGTTTCTTGAGTGGTGTCTGCTGCCTCCCGGTGCTCCTGTCCTCAAACACCCTCAACATTCCTCAACCCTCAAGTTGGGTCCAGCGTGCAGCGCATCCACTCACGGGGTCTAGAGTGGCAAAGGATCGCAAGCACAACGCATCCGACGCGGGCCTTCCGCGCAAGTTTGGAGAACTGTGTTGTACCTCGGAACGGAGGGCAATGCGCGCCTGTATCTACATCCCTAAACCCTAAGCCCAAAATACGTTGGCAAAACACCCCTTAGATTGTCGGCTTCATTCTTTGTAATGCCGGCCGAAGACCTAAGGGTTGTTTTCAATGCGCCATGGAGTGCTTCATTGGCTACTTTCTGACATAAATGGGGGTTTGCGAAAATAAGGGACCCCTAATATAGACCCCAAATGGTAGGATTCCCTTTCAATAAGGGCCCCAACAAGGTACCCCGAGTATTCGGAAACCCCCAAATTGGGCACAGCTGGAGAGGTCCCGGGGCAGCAGCCCTCGACCATTGCAATATTATGGCAACAAGCTGCATCACCGCATCTTCATTCACCAGGAAATCGCGACATTTCCTGGGCCAAGCAGGTTGCAGGGGTTTGGAGTTACGGCAGGCTTGTGGGCTAGCCTGACATTCCCCTGCAACATTCGACCCTAAACCCTAAACTCTAAACCCTAACCCCTGTACCCTGAACCCTAAACCCGAAACCCTAAACCCTAAACCCTAAACCCTAAACCATAACCCTAAAACCTAAACCCTAATGCGGAAGAGGCTCCAGAGCAAGAAGATGGCCTCGCGCCACATCTTTCCTTCGAGTCTCATCGTTGGTCAACGGTTGAAGTGTCAACAGGTCAAACCCCAAAACCTTACTAAACCTAAACCCTAAACCCTAAACCCTACACCCTAAAACCTAAAACCTAAAACCTAAAACCTAAACCCTAAACCCTAAACCCTAAACCCTAAACCCTAAACCCTAAACCCTAAACCCTAAACCCTAAACCCTAAACCCTAAACCCTAAACCCTACCAAACCGCAAGACCGGAACCTTGGGATGTGCCCCCTTATACAAACAGTCCTTCATAGGGACTATTGATTGTACTACCCCCTACTACGATCCCGATCAACTGCTAGTATCAGGGGGAACATCCCAGCCGGAACCCTTACGCCTGCTATGGCCAGGGCTCTTTTGCCGGTGCCCAGGGCTCGAAGAAGCTTGGTGTAGGCGCTGCGCTGCAGTCGAAGGCGTCCGGGTTCACGCGAAATCACGGACATCTGGGATGGATGGGTAACAAGAAATGCCCCAAAAACCCATGAACCTCTACTGCAAGAACAACTAAAACTCTCAACCCTGCCTAAACCCACATCTGGGTGGCTGCTTTTGTTCTTAAACCCCCAATCCCCAAGCCTTCAGGTCAGAAACCCCTGAAGCCCCTAGACTCTGCACCTCTGCATCTCTCAACTTCTCAACCTCAATCCATGAAGCCTCACCCGGAGGGTCCATGTACCTACATACCATATACTTGGGCCTTAAAGGGCTTACCACATAGTAGCTTTAGGGCCCAAGTGTTTACCATGTCACATGGACCCTTAGGGTCACTCTCAAAAGCGCAAGCAAGCTGCTAGCTCGGCGAGTTGGCGGCCCCGACGCTGCGCAGGTTGGTCCAGGATGTCGTGTAGCTGGTCGAGGGTGGGGAGACCCAGTGGGGTGGCTGTTTGGGGGGGGGGGGAGGGGAAAAAATTGTAGAAATAGGGGGCCTAGGGTCTGGGCTGTTGTGTGTTGTCGTGTCTGCTTCATTTGTTGTTTTTCATCACTGTCTCCCACTTGTTCGTAACCCTTGTCGCCTTCTTCGTTTCTTATTTTCCTCCTCTGGGGTCTGTTTCATTCGTTGGGTCTCTGCTTCGTTTTCTTAAAAGCGTGTCTCATTCGTTTTCTCGCTTCTCTTCGTTAATCTTGGCCCCTCCTTCGTTTTTCTCTCACTCCCCAGGATCCCATACTCTCATTTAAGTATTTGTCGCTACTCATTCGTTTTCACTTTTCCCCTCTCTTACCTCTCCAACACTTTTTGACTTGTCCCCTAGCTTCGTTTTGTCTTGGTTTGTCTCTAAGCTTAGCTGGGCTTTAGTTAGGCGGTTCGTAGAAAAGCCTAACATAAAGCCAAGATTGTAGAGCATCGGGTTAGCCATTGGGTTATATTTTGTTACTTTCTGGGGCTTAGTGGTTAGTTCAACGATAATATTATATTTGTGAATAATATTATGGTTGCTTATTGAGTTTATTTGTTATGTTTCCCATCATCGCACTATGAATAGCCACATCATGTATTTTGATATATCTATATTTACTTGATTTAAGCAATAAAGGAAATAAATGATGCAGATAAATAAAAACCAAATAATCATCAAGTATTACACAGTCAGGGTTGTTTTTAAACCTACTGTCATAAATATGTTGAAGAGCTACATGAAATTCTAGCGTGTATGCATCTTTTATTGATTTCCTTAGTTTTCTACCACATATTTGTCGCAGTGCTTCTTCATAAGAAGGGAAACCACTTAGGATCGTAAAATACTTTAGGACTTCATCATTCATATCATCTACTTCTTCATCAATAATATGTTTGATCTTAACACATTCAACGCACATCAGGAAGGATTTAATATTCTCATTGACTACCGACGGCAACTGATTAAAGTTGGCTTCTTTATATAAACACTTGCATGTTTTACATTTGTTCATTTGATTACACAATTGTTTATTAATCCTAGTCAAAAATGTAAGCTTTTCCATCTGTTCAAAACTAGGTTCTTCTTCGTTCATCCCCTCTTATTATACTAGAGCGTTTGTCTTTAAGTAGGTTTTATATAGGGTTTCTCGTTGGCGCTTTGGGTGGTATTGGCAATCCCCTTTGGGTGGGATTGGCAATCCCCTTTGGGTGGGATTGGCAACCCGCTTTGGGTGGGATTGGCAATCCCCTTTGGGTGGGATTGGCAACCCCCCACGGGTGGGATTGGCAACCCCCCACGGGTGGGATTGGTGATCCCCGAAAACCTGCTTTTTGGGATTGGCAATCCCCGAAGCCCTGTTTTTGGGATTGGTAATCCCCGAAGCCCTGTTTTTGGGATTGGTAATTCTTTAACCCTAAACCCTAACCCAAATTCTACAAGGAATACCTCGCTGGTTTTGAGCTATGGCACTTGAGATGAGATATTGGGTGGGAAACTTTGGGGGATCTTGGCACACACTTGCAACGCCAAGCCAACAAAACGAAAGCGCCAACGTGAAACCCTATATAAAACCTACTTAAAGAAAAAACGACTTATATTTATATGGAGCAAGGGGAATTACGAAATATATTGGATTATGTATTAAGCAGTGGCACGGGCAACATTAAAACGCAAGGGAATAAAACATACAAGAAGGTTATAATAAATGACAGAGAATATTATTATAATAGGGAAAAGCCCATAACCACCAAACTAAAAACCAAACTAGAGCAAATAGCCAAAACACAGGAGTTTAAAAGATACAACATATTAAAACGTGCAACCAAAGGCATAGCAGTGAGAAAGGCTTTAAAAAGATATGCAATAACACAGAAAGCCAACATAACAGAGGAACGAAGCGCATTTAAACGATATGCCAACTCATACTCAATTACCAATATTAACCTACAAGGCTACAAGGGCTTGTCATATTTAAAATACCAAGAACCGAGACTGAAAGAGTTTTTAACGCGAAACAACAATATGAAAATAAGAGTAGATGTAGATATTTCTTTTAGACACCCAGAACACGAAGAACCACAAATACACAGAATACCTAGTAGGATTTATACGATCAACAACCACGAAGAACTAAAAACAACAATAGACAATATGGCATCCGACATAGAAATAAAGATTGAGAACTCACAACTGAAAAAGTCGGGTTACCAAATAAAGAAGATTGAGAAGATCACCATACATTATGACAGATACAACCCAACAAGGGCAGGTAAATATATTGAACTGCCCAAGTGGATAGCAGATAAAAAGGCTTGTATTAATATTAAGAATGACGACGAGCTATGTTTCAAATATTGTGTTCAAGCAAAGTTTTATGAAATAATGAAGAAGGACCACCCCGATAGAATGTATCATTATAGAAGCTTAAAGGACGGGATAATCAATTGGGATGATGTTGAATTTCCAGCTACGCTTTCAGACATAGAACACTTTGAAGAAATCAATAAAAATACCATATCAGTGAATGTTTATGCCATTGATCCAAACGGAACAAACACCATTGTAGTTGATAGGGTAACGAGTATTCAGAAACCATCGTGTCACATTAACTTGTTACTTTTAGAACGAGATAATTATAATCACTATGTCTTAATAAAAGACTACAACAAGCTAATGGGAGCACAAACCAACAAATACAAAGGAAAGGTGTTTCATTGTATGTATTGTCAGCACGGTTTCACTAATGAGAAGTTATTGAACAATCACCTAATAAAAGGATGCATGGCGAACGAAGTTCAACAAACGAAGATGCCGAAGGAAGACGAAAAGATGTTCTTCAAAAATCACTACAAAAAATTAAAATGTCCTTATGTCATATATGGCGACTTTGAGTGTCTGACAACACCAACAACTGAAGGCATCAAAGGATCGTATCAACATCATCAACCGTGCGGTTTTATGTTAAATGTTGTTAATAGCATAACCAACGAAGCAACACCTTATTTATACAGGGGCGAAGATTGCATGGAAAGGTTCTGTGTAGCAATAAACAAGATCAAGAACGAAATTATGGAAAAGATGAAAGAAAATAAACCAATACAATGGTCGGCTAAACAGAAAGAAGAGCACAAGAAGGCCAAGCATTGTTTCTTATGCAATGGCAAGTTTGACAACAACGACCCGGCTAAAACGAAGGTGGCCGACCACTGTCACTTCACAGGTGCATATAGAGGAGCGGCACACAACAAATGTAACTTGGATTATTGTTTTAAATATTTCAAGATCCCGGTATTCTTTCACAACCTTAAGAACTACGACGCCCACTTAATAATATCAAATATGGAGAAGCTAAACGCAGACAAAGATAAAATAAATGTTATAGCACAGAACAGCGAAAAATTCATTACTTTCTCAATTAATCAACTTGAGTTTAAGGACAGCTTCAGCTTCTTGTCGTCTTCTTTAGACAAGCTTGTAAAACTAACGAAGTATGAAAACGACGAGAAGAGGGAGAACTGGCAGAATAATTTTTATAACAGTAAGAAAAGCGTATATTTAACCAACGATGAAGACTTGGATCTTTTAACAGACAAGGGCGTTTATCCTTACGACTACTTTACCGACTTCAATAAATTTAATGATACACAGCTACCAAGTAAAGAAGCCTTTTACAGTAAGCTAACAGAGGAAGGGATCAAAGACACCGAATACGAAAGGGCACTTAAGATATGGGACCACTTTAAAATAAAAAACCTAGGACAGTATCACGATTTATATCTTCAAACAGATGTGTTATTATTAACCGATGTCTTTGAGAAGTTCAGAAAGAAATGTTTAGAAGATTATCAGCTTGACCCGGCCCATTATATCACCTTGCCTAATTTTAGTTGGGACGCTATGCTATTAAGAACCGGAGTACAACTAGATCTGATCCACGACGAGGAGATTTATAAGATGATTGAGAGAGGCTTAAGAGGAGGAATGTGCCAATGCTCAATGAGAAAGAGTGAAGCAAATAATCCCTATATGGGAGAAGAATACGATGAAACTAAGGAAACTTCATACATCAGTTATCTGGATGCCAATAACTTGTATGGTTTAGCTATGTGTATGAAGTTACCTTATAAAGACATAAAATTTATAAAACATTCCGATATAACATCTGATGATATACTAAATTATATCAACGGTGATGAAGGTTATATTTTAGACGTTGATCTTGAGTATCCTAAAGAGGTGCATGACAAGCATATTGACTACCCACTGGCACCCGAGATTATGAATGTCACAGCCGATATGTTAAGTGAGAAGCAGAAGGAAATTTATAAAGCTTATCATCAAGACAAGGAACCTAAGGACGAACAAACAAATAAACTGATCTTAAACGTAAATGATAAGTCTAATTATGTTCTTCACATACAAGCTCTGAAATTTTATCTGAGACACGGGTTAAAAATAAAGAAAATAAATCGTTTGATATCCTTCAAACAAAAAGAATGGTTAAAACCTTGGATTGACTTCAACACAGAGAAGAGAAAAAAGGCCACATCGGACTTTGAGAAGGATATGTATAAGCTAATGAACAATAGTTGCTTCGGCAAGACTATGGAAAATGTAAGGGAACATATAGACTTTGAACTGGTAGATACTCCCGAAAGATATCAAAAATGCGTCAATAAGCCGACATTCAAGCACAGGCACATAATTAATGAAAATCTTGTTGGAGTAGAGAAGTTAAAAGCAACAGTCAAGCTAAACAAACCTATATATGTTGGAATGAGCATCTTAGATCTTAGTAAGTTACATATGTATGAATTTTACTATGATGTTCTAAAAGAGAAGTATGATGAAAATGTTAGGTTAGTATACACCGACACTGACAGCTTAGTTATTCATACTAAAACAAAGGACATATACGACGACTTCAAAGAAATGAGTGATCAAATGGATTT